CTGTGTATCACTCTTCGTAAAATGGCTGCTTATCTTACAAAGCAATTGTCAGATTAATAAATGTGGCTTTAATTAAATAAATATTAAATAAATATTAATAAATATTAATAATTAATATATGTGGCTTGCTTAGAAGCATGCTTAGAAAATAATAGGGCTCAACACATGCTTGCCCAGCATGGCATTAAGATGCACTATTGGGAGTTAATAGATTTGTCTGAATCTAGAATTCAGTGCTTTAACCAAAAAAAAAAAAAAAAACAGAAGAAGAAGAAGGCTTTTTATTTCATAGCATATATTTTGTCCATATGGGTAAAACAATGGTAAAATAAGGTAAGATTTAGAAATCATTTGTTAAGATTATATTTCTTTAAATGAAATTCAAGAATAGCTTGCAATTGATAATGTCATTCCATATATAATCACATCTTATCTCTCAGGGGCAAGCTGCTAGACAGACTAAAGGACTAGACTTATAATCACTATTATATATTATTATTAATTGGAACATAATGCATTACTATGAAAAGAGTAACTATTCAATGGATTCTTCAATTTCTACCTAAAACACACCTTGCTCAGAAAATGATTCAAGAAGTGTCTTGTTAACTGGCGCCCTTTTCTATTATGATATGAGTTCATTTTGAAATTCCTTTTCTATATGTCTCTTAATATTCATGAGTAAGTATATATCTGTATTTATTTATTCTTGATATATTAAATGGACAGTTTCCAGGCTCACCTTCACGGTATGATTTGGAGGAGAGGAATTCAATGCTCATAATCAACTAGTCAAAGAGTATTTAATCAGTACCTCCCAAAGCCTCAACGTTAGTGCTGGGTTGATTTTAGGAACTGGGTTGAAAGGCATTTAAGAATTCATCTAGGGTCACCTAGGTGGCTCAGTCAGTTAAGCATCTGCCTTTGGCTCAGGTCATGATCTCAGGGTCCTGGGATCGAGCCCACCAGGGCGGGCTCCCTGCTTAGTGGAGAGTCTGCTTCTCCCTCTCCCTCTGACCCTCCCACCCCTGCTCTTGTGCTCTTTCTCTCTCAGATAAATAAATAAAATCTTAAAAAAAAAAGAATTCATCTATACTCTCTTTGAAATGTGATCACTCTTCTATTTAGTATTTCTAGTTTCAGAGACTTCTTCAGGAGACTGAGTTGATTCTACTATTGCTTACAAAGATGGTACCACCATTTATTGGCCACTATGCTAACCTCCTTGTTTGCATTTTGCTACTTAATCCCTTCACTGTGGTTTTTGCTGTTATTGTCCACAGTTCACAGAGAAGGAAATGGAGGTCACACAGCCATGAGTACATTGAAGAGCCAGAATGAAATTCCGTGGTCTGACTCCACCTACTCACAGCAGTCAGAACTCTGCTCGCTCCTTCCACCCACTACCTTGAATAGTCTTCTTTAGCCTGAGCTGAAATCTGAGAGTTTTAAATTTTATTTACCTGCATTTAGTCCAGACTCTTTCCTTGCAGGGTTTGGACATCCCAGTCTTCATTTCCCACTTAAATGGAAGAAGTCTTATGTGGCCCTACATATCCTCATCATATTTCGCTAGTGTTAGTTTCTTATTCATATACTTTGATATGTGATAAATTAATATATATTCTGCATAAAATCATGCACCCTCTTTCCAAAGGTCTTGCCATTTAGAAATGCAAAAGTAAAAAAAAAGACAATGATTGCTTATTCCTTAGAAAACGGTTGCTATTCAAAATTAACAAGCCTTTTCAAGATGGCTGTTTAATAGTTGCTAAAACAATAGAAAGTTTCATTTAACATCTGTAGCTCAGAACCCTAATGTTACATATTCATATATGTTTTACCTTTCAATAATTGTGGTTAGAACACATATGTTTCAGGCTAAAGAAGTATGTGAGATGTCAGATCTATATCAATCCTTTGGCTTAGAGAAAACTTCTTTTTAAATATGCTGAAACTTTAAAAGAGGAACTCCCTGTCAGCAAAGATTACATCAGTAAAACTTCCAAAGAAGTAATCTCTTTGGGAAAGAGCTCATTTTTAATCTTCAGCTGTGGTTCTGTTAATTCCCCCTGTTGAAATAAATTTTGAAATGGTTACCACTTTTTTATTACAAAAAGGAAGTGGTTCTTAACTTTGGCTGCATATTTAAATTTCATGGGGTAGATTTAAAAAATAAACTACCCTTGCCTGGACCCCATGAGCATATGTAGTTCATCAGGGGTGTAGTGTGGACTGCACTCATCCCCAGTGATTCTAGTGAGCAGTTAGAGGTGAGAAGCATGGGAAAAAGTCAATGCGAGAGGAGAGGGCATTTTCTCCTCACCAGCACTAAGTGCCACAGGAATTCGTCACCTTCTCATTACTTTATTTTTTTTTTTTTAAAGATTTTATTTATTTATTTGACAGAGAGAGACACAGCGAGAGGGGGAACACAAGCAGGCGGAGTGGGAGAGGCAGAAGCAGGCTTCCCGCGGAGCAGGGAGCCCGATGCGGGGCTCGATCCCAGGACCCTGGGATCATACCTGAGCCGAAGGCAGACGCTTAACGACTGAGCCACCCAGGCGCCCCACCTTCTCATTACTTTATATACCTTAAAACTACCTTTAAAAATCCTCTGTCATGGAATTCTTCTCATATCTTGCCATGCCACTTGAAAATATCGTGTAACTTTAAGATTAAGAAAGAAGTGCCGCAAGGACAGGCTAGTTCTGATCAGAAAACCAAATGATTTGGATTCTGGGGAAATCTCACTTCCCACTGATGAACCTTGGAGAAAGTCGGTAGCCTCTCTGGTCTTCAAATTTGTTCCCTAGTCTCAAGCCCGCTTTAAGGTTCTTGCAATCATCAGTGGTTGGTCAGAGACCACTCAATGTCCCACAATTTTTAATCATCTGAGACAATCTTATTTTATTTAAAGTTCCCAAAGGGATTTTTTAAAAAGTAACCAATGCTATCATTTCCTTGAAACTTAATGACCTTTCCTGTAGGTCAAAATCTTTCGTACCTCTGGAAAAGTAAACCTCTATTCTTACTTTCATACAAACTCCCCGTTTAGTGTTCAGGGAAGTTGTTTCCCACCGAAGCCCCTACAAGCACTTGCTCTTCCCGCTCTTTGGAGCACAACTGACCCAGTCCAGGAACTATCCTGTCTGGTCTTGTCAATATACACGGGAGCCTCGGATCTGTGCTCTAGGCTCTTAGGATCAATTTCAACTTCTTTGTCATTCTTGGTCACCATGAATTTCCTTCATATCTCAGCTAACTATGGCATAGAACATCCAAGTCTTTTTTTTTTCACATGAGACTGTCAATACTTCCAATTTCCTTCTCAAAATATGTTCTTCCCAAGATTTTCTACATGTAGTGTCATCACTGAGCACTGCAGAGGTCATAGTCAAAAGATCAAATAGTTTAACTATTTGTCCATTTTTTTCCATAGACGTTTACATACTCCATATCAAAATAGTAGTAAGTCACTCTTTATTACTTATATTACACTTCTCAAATTTGCTTGCTAAAGAAAAACAGGAATGGGCATTTCTCATGAGGAATGCACACTTGAAATGTACTTGGCAGTGAGCAACTGAGAAAACAGCCAATGATGTCATCTATGCATCGCATCTGGTCACAAATATTAGTGACATAATTTATAATAACCTTCTAGTTATTGAAAATTGCCCGGACTCCTGCTGTGCCGTTCCTTTAGAAAAGCTAGTTGGTATGTAGTGTTTAATTAAATATTTTAAAGCCATCCTTTTGTAGGCCTGTTCCACTTTAGCTAAAGTTATGACAGCTTGTCTCTGTTGGTTTAAAAAAAGAAGGCATAGTTTATTGCCTGCCTTTCTCTGTCTCCCTCTCTCACGCATGCGCATTTACAGAATATTAGTATTTTTAAGTGAAGTAACGTAGCCTATTTTAGAGATGTGTGAAAGGTAAGTTTGAATGTGTTGTTAATTTAACGTGTTGTCAGTGTAAGTAGTCTAGACATGAAAAGGAATAATTTGATGAAAAAATCCGTGTTTTGTATTATAATTATTTTAATAATGATGAAGTATTATTATTGGAATAGAACCATGTTTTCTCCTTCTCTGCTACTTTTTTTTTTGTATTACACAACATTAACAATTTGAAAGAAGCCACTGCATAACTATAGTCATCTTATCTATATCCCCTAAGCGAATTGCTTTCCCGCCACCTAATTTATCCAAAGAACATCTCCTTGCTCAGTGTTATAAACCATTTTATTATTTTCTTACACTTGTTTATTAATCATTTTGCATGTCATGCTTTGTCATCAGGGAAGGAAAAACCACATTCAACTTTTCTTTTCTTTTTTTCCCCTCTGAAGCTTTATTTTAAGATTGAAAAGCTAAATAACAAGGGGGTTCAAATCTTGCTTAAAATATAGACACATTATTCTCAACAACAGAAATTTTAAATTTACATTTCACTTTCTTGCGAAAAAATTCTTTTACTTCAAACTTGGAAAAACACACACGTTTTACAGATATGACCTGTACATTTTTCCTTTGACTTTAGTGAGTGTTAGGTAATAGTTCCCAGATTTTGCCAACAATTTTAAAGGGACAGCTTTAATGATCTAATTATTACAATTTGGTAATTAGCTAGAGTAGCATTTCAAAGTGTTATTGATATGACTTGTCTGGGTTAACCAGTATTTTTAGAAAATAGACTAGAGTCACATAGATACTGGTATTGTTCTTGTCTTCACGTTTACACTTCTCCTTTGGACCCCTGAGACACGCAGCTTTTGTGGTTCTGCCACAGTCTAGAATTCTCAAACAACCCTGACAGCTAACCTAGAATAATCTTTGGGGAAATCTCCCCTCAAGTTCCCGTGTTTTCAGTCATTAACAAAAAAGAAAGAAAAATGTTAAAGGTAGCGAGAAAAGTCCAGTGTTACAGCTGGTTTCAGCAATTGCAACTTGCGCAAGACCCGTGTTTGTGAAAGCAACTCAAGAATCTTTGAACAGGATGTAATCAACCTCCGATCTGCTGAGAAACACTGCAAAAATGACTTCCTCTGCCAAAAATAATAATGTCGTTTACAAGCAGCTCTTCCATGTCTAAGGAAGAACTAGCCCCACGTGTGAGTTTATGCTGGCTTCGGGGGAGCAAGCAAGGAAAAGGGCAAATCCTACCAACCCCAGCCTAAAATACCCCGTATCAGAATCCACGGGAAGCTGTGGCCCATTCCAAAGGTGCTGGCAATATCCAGGAAGATTCGTATCCACAAAAATCCAAAGGGTAAGTGACCCCGGAAAAAGGGATTATATTTGGCAGCCATTCTGTGCTGTCCCTTTCCCTCTGTAACCAAGCTGCCCTGGTTTGTGAAGGCAGAGCTGTTAAATACCTCTTAGTCACCAGCCCCAACCCAAATCTTTCTTTCTTTTTTTTTTTTTTATTTCTTTCTTTCTTTTTTTTTTTTTTCAAAATATCATCTGGCAGCTTCCCTTAAAGGACATCAAGAGCTCTCTCTAAGGAGGGAATATTCGTGAATGATCCTTTAGATAAGTTTCATCACAAAAGCCCTGCACCTACCTCTGTCAAGTCTGGGCTGTTCGGTCCGCATGGGCTGGATGTGAAAAAAGACCCAGGATGATGGCTTCGCCGAATTTACCAGAAAGAAAGGACCTGGGATGCTTGTCCTTTAAGTGTCTCTAAACATGGTTTGCATAGCTGGATCTCTGCTTATCTGTGCCTTTCGGCTTTCGCTTCCATACATGGATCTGTTCCCAACAGTAACTCCAAGCTGTGGAAAAGCAGCTATCTGGCAGCTCTCCGCTTCATCCAACACATGGATGATAAAAATACACATATAGAGATCCTTCCAGCCAGGCCCATTTTCCACCCTGCCGTCCTGCCACTACGCCTCTTTGGAAATACGCTTTCAGATTGGCATTTTTACTCCCCAGACGTTTAGAGAACAATCGCTTTCCCCCTGATTCCCACATAGAGCTTTTAGGATGTGGGTTTGCTTAGTTTTATGAAAACAGAGGCACGATTATTGTTCCTGGCCGGGGTCTTCAACCTTAAAGATTTTAGAGATAAGATATGTACAGGACCTGCGCAATGTGTAGTGAATGGATGAACATATAAATGAATGGCTGAACAAATGGACATTGTGTGTGAATGAATACATACGGATTTAATGTATTTATTTAGTTAAGAATAGTTGCTAACACTCTGAATTCTTTGTCTTAAAGGATCAGGTAGGAGCAGAAGGTCAAGGTAATCAAAATCTCTAAGACAGGAGAGGTCAGGTTCTTCCTTAAACAGCTTCTCATTTAGGATATAGTGGGGCAGTTTCTAATAAGCTACCATCTAGCATACAGTGTGAGATATAGAAAATTTCTTTTAATGTTAAAGAATGTAAACTTGAATAGAATGCTAATTGCTACATTTGTTAACTGTCAGTGATACTTTAAATGACATAAAGCTGTGACCTAAATTTTAAGGGTGGTGGTGGGGAAGGAGAAATCGGCTCTGGCTAATAAAGATGTAGGTGAGAGGTACTCCTTCAGGGGACCGTGGAAACTCCACTTAGCCTTCTAGTTCCTGGAAATTGGGCTTTTCCGTTTTAAAATTTCTCTCTCTCTCTCTTTTTTTTCCAGTCTGTTGTTACTCTTGTGTGTGTGTGTACACATATGTAAAAGAGAGAATTTCCAAATAACATTTTTCCATTCGCCATTTTTTTCAGAGTCATGTTAAAACTCTTATAGATTCTCTTGTTTGAAGAAAAAATAAATTTGAGGTATACAGGGATAATTCATTTTTGTGTACTGAAATGGAACTAGTTTGCTTAAAACATTCCAGAGGAAAAGGGGAAGGATAGATGAAACAAGATTGGCAAAAATGATAATCGTCGCAGGTGGTTGAGTGATCAATAGGGGACTCATTATATTATCCTCTCTACTTTGTGTATGTTTTAAAATTATGGACCCCGGGAAACAAACTGAGGGTTTCAGAGGGGAGGGGGTGGGGGATGGGGTGACAGGGTGATGGGTATTAGGGAGGGAACATGTTGTGATGAGCACTGGGTGTTATATACAACTAATGAATCATTGAACACTATATTAAAAATTAATGATGTACTATACAGTGGCTAACTGAACATAATAAAAAAAAAGAGATTACTTGAAAATAAACCCTTAAAAAATAAAATTTGTATAAAAGAGAAGAGAGAAGAGTACAAGATAGATATATTAGGGGCGCCTGAGTGGCTCAGTTGGTTAAGCATCTGCTTAGGCTCAGGTCATGATCCTGGGGTCCTGGGATTGAGCCCCGAGTAGGGAGGGGGCTCTCAGCAGGGAGTCTGCTTCTCCCTCTCCGTCTGCCCGTGCTCTCTCTCTCAAATAAATCAGTAAAACTTAAAAAAAGAAAAGAAAAGAAAGAAAGAAATCTGAAAAGGAAACTCTTTCTTTTTTCCCCCCGCACTGTCCCTTGCAGCTAGGGACAACCATGTAACGGGGTTCTGGCCACATAGGTGTAAATAGGAAATCCCCTGAGTGACTTCAGGAAAGTGTTTATTTATCTGTTAAAAAGGGACAGATTCAGCTTTTGCCCCTCTTGTCCCTCTGCGTCTTCCACCTATTTCCTTCCCACAGAACAGACTTGACCCCTGAAATTGCAGCAGCTGCTCGGTGACCAGGAGGGGACAAGCAGGAGGACACAGACCTAAGAGATGAGGAAGCTGGAGCAGACAGACAGAAAGAATTTCAGTTCTTGATAGCATCATCCAGAGGCTGTAGCAATGAACTACCCACCCCTGGACTTCTTGCTCTTTGAGAAAAAGAAAACCAGAATTAATACAAAAAGTGGATTTCATCCATTTTGAGAGATCAGGCTTTTGTCGGGAATTCTTTTCTTCAGCTTCAAGTATTTCTGTGGATGATGGTAACATTCAAAATCAAATTCTGATTTTTCCCCTCTGTCCTCAGCACTGTTTGATCCTTCCCCAAACCATTTAGGATAAAATATAAATTTCTTAGCTCAGTTCTCAGATATGTTTCAAAATCTACTTGCAATTCACATCTTCATCTCATCTCTGGTCACTCCCCCACCAAGGTCTTTTCATTTCTGCTGCCTTGAATGGCTGTTGTGTATGTGCAGCCCGGCCAGGTAGAAAGCCATGGTTTTCCTCATACTTCTTATGCTATTTTCCTCTGCCTTTTCTTTCTGCATAGAACATTCTTCATTCTCTTCTGTATTTAGCTAATTCTCCTTAAATTTCAAGGCTCAGATCAGCAGTTTTCTCCTCTGGGGAGAGGACCCTCGCCCTTCCCATGTGGTTTAGGTTCTGGAGCACACATTGTACAACCCTTCCACTCTATAATTGTGGGGTACCTGCTATTTCATTGGTTTGTTTTTCAACTCAGCTTCAAGTTCTATATGGTCAGGGAACAGATTTCATGTATACTTGTATTATTAGGACTTGGCATACAATAGGCATTCGATACAATATTTAAATGAATAAATGACAAAATGGATAGATCAGTAAATTATCCTTTGTCAGAAAAATAAAGAAAGATGTCGTGGATTCATTGCATGGCTTTGAATGAGACTCCTCACTCTTGAAGTAGGGTTAGAATTGAGACAGGCACAGAGACTGGCCCAGACCAAGTAATGAGTACATATGTCCTAAGTTCCTGTGTGAATAAATGGGTAAATGAGAAGGCAAGAATTCCAGGGGGGACAAAGTTTGAGTCATCGCCAAGAAGCAATATGGTTCAGAATCTGCTTGACTAATTGTGAGGAGTTCACGTTGGCTGAGGCTTGGGATGGACAACACCCAAAGGACCTCGAGTGACAGGCTTAGCATGTTGGTTTTAGGTAATGTTAAAGGGAGGAGTTTTGGCACAATCAAAATTGTGATTCTTTTATGAGACTTAGTTTTCCTTCTTGATGAGACCTGATAATAGAATACTACAGCAATCTTGAAAGCAAATGTTTACTGAGACAAGCAGGTGGGTGGGTTCTTACCTGGCAAGAAAATTCTTCTTTTTTTTTTTTTTTAAAGATTTTATTTATTTATTTGACACAGAGAGAGAGAGAGGCAGAGAGCAAGTACAAGCAGGGGGAGCAGCAGACAGAGGGAGAGGGAGAAGCAGGCTCCCCACTGAGCAAGGAGCCTGATGTGGGGCTCGATCCCAGGACCCTGGGATCATGACCTGAGCCGAAGGCAGACGCTTAACGGACTGAGCCACCCAGGTGCCCCTGGCAAGAAAATTCTTAATGTCTTCTTTGTTTCTAAAGGGACATCTTACTTTCTAAGTCAACTATTGAATATGTTAGAAGAGAAGAAGGAAGAGGGGGAGAGGTGTAGAATGAAGTGTTGGGGCTTCAGCTAGTTTAAAAATTGGTCTGCCATGCTTATATGACCACTTGGATTTTAAATTCTGCCCAGCGCATTGAAAAGCAGAATCACTGTGCTTAACATAACAGATTGCATCTAGAAGGTCCCTTAAGTAATTCTAATAGCCCTATATAACAGGAATATTTAATTCATTTCATGTTTCTATTGTTAAAATATTTGATTATTTGTGTCATATATCCTTGTATGTCAGATTACATGATCTGGTGCTTTGAAGTCATCAATAGCAATTTGGCTCTAACTGAGCTGGCGGTATCTGGGGAAATGATCTTGGGTAAATTCATCTCATTTTTACTCTCTTCACAGGGTTTGATTTTGCTCTTCTGTGCCATTTGTGAATGATAGGCCCTCTTGCCTCTACTTCTTTCTAAACTCATATCCCATAATTTGCAAGAAACATTTTTTAAAAAATTTTTTGCAAGCAAATTTTTTTTTTTTTTTTTTTTGGTCTTCCAATTATGAGCCCCTGAACAACAGAATAGAAAGCCCAGACTGGTCTCATATTCCTTCTAGGCTTTAAGGTCTCAAGCTCATCATAGGTGTCCAGTGATACTTCTTTGACTTTATGTGGAACGTAAGGACCTCCTTCCAGGAGAAAGCACACAAGTTGGGATAGCCATAGTTACTTGAGAGTTTAGTTCTATATCTCATTTAAAAAATAAAACAAGGCAAAACAAGATGAAACAGTATTCAATTATTTTTGTTCTCTAATGAAACTGTAAAGTGGATTAGAATATTCCTGACTTCAGGAACTCAGCCTAGTATATACTACATAATCTATTTATAGTACCTAATATAATGTTCTATTCCTAAATAAATTCCTAAAGTAATATTTCTAAATAAATGAATTTTTAATAAAAAAATTAACATTAATCTACTCAGATTTTGCTGTTATTAGGTGGGTTTTTTTGGTCATACTGACTATAAAAAAATCAGTGACTATAAAAAAACCAGTGTTTAAAAGGTTTTACTAATTGTAATAGTGTATCATTTAAAGTCTATTCTATCTTACTCTATCTTCCTATGTAGGCAGCCCAGTTAAGCGTGATCATGTCCATGGGCTTATCTCTACAGAACAGGCAGAGACATTAATGTACAATGAAGAAGTTTTTTGTTTTGTTTTTGCAAATGTTTCATTGAGCTACGGGCAGAGCTTGAAGAGATGAGCTGAAACAAGGGTAAGCAATTTCAACGTATTTTGATTACAATTGTTGGACACCTGAGTACAGAGAAAATGTTGGAATGCCATAGCATTCTCTCTCACTTGGAATCCAGTGAACATTTTTGCAGGAGAAGGTGATTTAAAGGCACTGATCAACTAGGAAACATCCTGTCGGTTTAGTGAGCCAGACTGAGCAAGGTCAGTAAGGCTGTTAAGTCACGGAAGCTTTTCTCGGAACACACTTGGCCATTGGTCCAAAGAAAAGTTGAGAGACTTTGCAGAAGTGCGTGTTACTACGCATTTCTGAGGAACTAACCACGTCCAGAGGCTCACACAGCCATTGGAACCCATAAAGTATTGTATACAACATCTAAGCTAGCCATTAACATAGGAAAAGGCATGACGAGTGTTTAGAAAAATGCCCAGACATTACAGGGAGATATATATTTCTCCAAACCTGAGCTTATTTTATTTGTGATACTTTAGAACTACCTACAAACTGCTTTAATGAGATTGCTTTCTGAAGGCAACAAGTTCAGTAAATCACTCTGCTTTTCTCCAGTCTTTTCATCCCGCATGTAAAATTTTAACCATGATGGACGGAGAGTCTCTGGTCCAAAAAACTCACCATGTTCCTTATCCACAGATACAGGTAAATGGAAATCGCGGCTCTTCAACCACAGCATTACTCATTGTGATTTGTTTTGAACTCGTTGCAGAGTCAAATAACACTGGTAAGTGTAATAAGATGTTTCAAAATCTTCTTGTGCTTGTTCATTTGCTTGGAGGACATAAAGAGGCAAATCTTAAAGCAATGTGTTCTGATCAAGAAACTGCTGGAAGTGGCAGAAACCTGATACGGAGCAATCGAGAATGGAAGGTTTATTTTGAATGAGAGGTGTTGTCCAACTGCGAGACTGAGTGATTGCAGCTGAGAATAAGTGCAACACAATCGCTAGTGGCTCCAAGTACGAAGTTATCGAGAACCTGTCTGGTTTCATGTCTTTTTCTGCTGCTACGTTCACATTACATCCATAGATTGCAACACTGTCTGTGGAGGAGGAAAAAAAGTTCTTCAGTTTACTCTTATTCTTAATGACAGCTTCTGAGCTGCCATGATTTGAAATTACAGTGATAAAAATGCTCCTTCAGAAAAAAAGGAACACTATATTCCAAAGCCAAATTGTGTATCGGACAGGTAAGAGTGCCTCATCATTAAAGGGGCTTGGATATGCATTACCTCTACAGCCTGCCATCAGTTTTTTTTTTTTTTTTTAAGATTTTATTTATTTATTTGACAGAGAAAGACACAGAGAGAGAGGGAACACAAGCAGGGGGGAGTGGGAGAGGGTGAAGCAGGCTCCCCGCCGAGCAGGGAGCCCGATGCGGGACTCGATCCCGGGACTCCAGGATCATGACCTGAGCCGAAGGCAGTCGCTTAACCAACTGAGCCACCCAGGCGCCCTGCCATCAGTTTTTATTTTGGTTATGCTCTGTTTTCTGGGCTTGTATAGCTATGGGCAGAGTCATTTCATTCTTCCTGGTCCCTAACAATGTTATTATTTTATTGAGATAGATCAAAGGAGCTGATCAATAAATATGTGCTGTTGAGTAATCTGTAATTGCAACATTTTATGTTTGGATGCCACTTGAGTTTGGGAAGCACTTTAGTGTGCCTTATTTAGTTAGACTTCACTTCAACACCAATATATTGTCCAAAACATGTGTCTCTTTCAGCCTCATTATTTTATAGTTACACTTTCTATATCACACACAAATATACTGCAGACACATAAAGACAGACACATAACTGTATTCCCCAAACTTGGGGCGTCTGGGTGGCTCAATTCCTTAAGCGTCTGCTTGGGCTCAGGTCATGATGCCAGGGCCCTGCTCAGCGGGGAGCCTGCTTCTCCCTCTCCTTCTGCCCCTCTCCCTGCTCTTGCATGCACTCTCTCTCTAAAAAATAAATAAAATTTTAAAAAAGAAATATTCCCCAAACTTAAGCTTTGTGCTTGGTTTAGTATATCTTAATAATATAATTTTTTAAATAAAGCTCTTTCTCCTGCTTATATCACAAAAATGACCACTTGATGATTAATTAAATCTTTCCTTTCTTTCTTTGTGTAAGGCCTAGACGGGGCCAATAAGCACATGGCATACAAACATGAATAAAATAAAGTTCTTGACCTCAATGAGATTGAAATTCACTTGTTTCTTCACTCAGTCCTTCCCAACTAGCATTCTCATTAGACAACTTCAGAAAAAGAAAAAAGCAAAAGCAAAAAAAAAAGCACTTATTTTAGAACCTTGGGAGTCAAGCTGGAGCCTGGGCAACCTTTCCACTTGTTGGAACTCTTTTGTCTATGCTTAGATGTACAACACTCTTTTTCATCTGGTTGCTTTTATAATGCAAAGGACAGAGGCAAATTATTTGGAGTACAAGCAGTGGGTCCAGAGTATTGAAACACTCCTCTTCATGACAATGCTAAGTTACTTTATTTGTTCATGAAACACTTGAAAAATGAGAAAGAACACCAGGCCCTCAAGAGAGAACAGAGAAAGAGTTGGCTCCCAATGCTTTCATTACCAAAAGAGAGTGTTAAAATGCATAGAAATGTTAAATCTCTACTAAAAAAAAAAAAAAAATCAGTGAATGACACATCCAGTTGCAACTCACTCAACCCTGATTTCACAATCATAGGAGATCTTACAAGAGAATGGTTTGGAAGTATAAAAAGTATTTTAATTTCACCTGCTGAGTATTAATGCATTTGAAGCATTGGAGGGGAAGCTGTCCAAGGGAAATAGAATATCTGTACCATCACCTACACTCTCTCAAACAAAAATGATAATGTATGTGTATGGAAGGAAGTCTGTTCTGTAGAACACTTGAGCCTGGCAAACAGGAGGATGATGACCCCTAAACCGAGGCAACCCACAGCAGTGTCTTCATGGACTGTTGCTCCATGGTGTAGGGACATTACTCAGAGCTCCAACCTCAGCATTGGTGCAGTCCGCATAATGCTCTGCTAAGTAACAGATTAAAAGGCCCAACTCCTTTGAAGGTCCAATGTCCATACTCAGAAATGGCAGAGGGTTTATTCCAAAATGAAAATCTGGTGAAAAGGCAACATCAGACTTTCTAGCATCATAGCAATATTTTAATTTAAAAAAATGTTCTATTTAGAGCATTTATATTTCACATCAATATAGTTATTTTGGGATTGAGATGCCATAGTAGAGAACCATTGGGTCCTTATGATATTAGAATTTATGCAAGCAAGAGCACATTGTTGCCATGGGGATCGGTAAATAGTCTTGATCTGAGACACTAGTTCCCACTGCCAAGACATGGGTGGAAGAAGGTGGTTCCCACAGACTCTGTTTTCTCTAGACTAAAAATATAGCCTGATTTCTATTAAAGGGCAATTAAAAACAGTTCTTGATGATGTAGTCTAAAAGAAGCATACCCTATCATTTTCAGAACAATTAAGCAGTGAGCTCACTATCTAATGCTTCGAGATTGTATTTGTATGCAATATTAATTATGTTCATGCTCTGTCACATCAAAGGTGGTGTTGCAACTGCAGCTTTTCTTAGTGTCGTTCACAGGGTCTTAAAAAAGAAATGGTTTATGGAGATGCATATATTACAGACATAAATTACTTTCTTTTAAGGGTTACAATATAAACTTAGCACTTTGAATTTAACTCTTTAAAATCATTGTTTTGCTTTGGGAAATATTGCTCCAAATGGTTGTGATGAATGTGAATTCTATGACTTCCAGTTTTTATGGCCCTCCTAGTCAAGAAATCCAAAACATTAGAATTTTTCCCTGAAGTTTATTATGAAATAATATGTCCAGATACCTATAAGTAACCCTTGCATTCATAAGGTGCTATAGAGTTTGCAAAGTGATTTTACCACCCATCATTTTGCCCAATGTACTTCACAATCCTGTGAGATAGGCAGGGTTTATAATTAGTTAATCGTCTCCTTTTGTAAGATGAGATGGAAGCTTAAAAAGGTCAAAATGCTTGCCTAAATCTCCATCGATAATACGTGTAGGAGTGAGCAAAATGTCTCAAGATGAAAAAGACTCTTTCTTCTCTACTGTGGTATTAGGAAAATGACACACTTCACCGCATACATTTAGTCCTATAAACTCTATCATTCCATCATCAAGACTTCTGGATTTAATTCTGTGACAATTAACACTAAAATACCATCTGAATTATTGTCTGAAAACTTGTTGAACTAAATATCCATTGGCTGGGGCAGGGTATCATTCACAATCCGTGTAAGGGTATTTATTTTAAGAAAATTTGACACACATGGAAAGGAACTAATTTTCCGTTCATTATAAATTCTGCCAAAATAAGTTTTATTTTACCACTTGGAAGGTAAGTTTCCTCCTCTTCCTCCCCCTTCTCCTCCTTCTCCTCCCTACCCTCCCCCATGACTTCTTGTGACTTGTCAGCCTTCCTAAGTTTATCATTGCACAACTTAACCTATTTTTTTACATTACTTTGCTGGATCTCAAGATAGCACAGCCAGGTTTACAAAATTATTATTATTCCTCATGCTGTCTTCCTCCAAGGTATGTTCCTTATATAGAATATTTGTTGGGCTGTTTCCAGTTTTAAATGAGTATAATTCATCAAGGGATCAACACTCACTAAAGAATTAAAGTACATGCATTTTGAATGACTGCTTCTCAGAAGTTCTAAAGCACGCTTTCTTCTTAAACATCACTCCTTTTCATGCTGGTTCATTCCTCCATGAACAACATTTTTAAAAGCACTCGATTTGGTAAGAATTTCTCTTTTATCAACTGCCCCTTGGGAGAGACTTCTGTTGGTTCCTACAGCCCAGGTCCCTAGAGTCAGATGTTTTACGTCTCCATCCAGCTTCCTTGTAATCTTACCCTTTATTCCTATGAGCCACCCCCATGACTTTCCACAATTTTTATTTTCTCCTAAATTATAAAGTTGGTTTCTTACATTTGCCACAGAGAATCCTGCTTGCTATGCAAGAATGAAAAGAAAGTGTTATAATTAGTGCTCTTTCCTTGTTTGAGCAATACTGTAAAATAACCAAATATTTTTGTCATCAAGCATTATTTACTACAGCAATCTTATATTTCCTCAAATCACTTAGCATTCATTTACCAAGATATGGTATGTTTTGCTCGAGAATCTCACACTGTTTTTCACAGGCTGTGCTTACTCCATTTTGGAGGAGGGAGCCCAAATGAAATAGATCTGTTCTCAAAAGCTCCCTACAGTCTTTATATTTGGAGCAGTGGTTCCCAAACCACATCAACATCAGCGGGGTTCGAGACCCGCTCATTTGGATAATGTACCCCTTACGAGGCTCATGTAGGAGACAGAGAAACTGAAGTACTGCCTAGGTAGTTTCTCTAGGTCAAGGACAAAAGTCATTTAGCCTTTTCTCTAGTCTCGAAATCTCTTTGCTTTGTTAATTGAACTACCCTAATCAGATCAATAATGTCCCTTATCTGCAGTGGGGCAGGTAAGAAATCCATTCCAAAGTGGCGGGTGAGTTGCTTTCTCCTCCTTCACCCTGCCTGCTTACTGTGAATCTTGGTGCAACAGACACTACTTAGCAAAAGGTAAGTACACCAGAGTAAAAACCATTTATTCCTGACCGAGGCTTAGGTTTTCCCCATCAAAGATCATGAAGTCACTGGGAAGAGTTGCCTTCCTATCTTTAGAAATCTTGAGGAGTGGAGACTGGAGAGAACGGGGTGAGACCATTGACCATCGGGGTCCCTCAGTTCACGTCTTCTGCTTCTGGGGATTTACAATAAACACAATTCCCTGGAAGCCTACGTTCTGATCAAGACCAGAAAATAAGCACAAGCATATTCAAATCCATTCTTATCAATTATACTTATCTTCCTTCTCCTTATTAATATGTTAAAGAAGGGAGGATGAGAATTTATCATGGGAAAATAATTAGGTTGAAGACTTATTTTCTCTAAGCCCACTCCTCGTCCTGTGTTCCCCATGTCAGTAACCATGACTGACCAGTTGCAGAATCACTCAGCTTTGGAACCAAGCTTCCAACTGGTCTCTGTGCCTCCTGCCTGGAGTTCCTCCTGTGTCCACCTCACATTGCATCCAATATGATCTTTCCCAGGCTTGTCTCTGATTTTATCACTCTGCTGATTTAAATCGTAATAGTGGCTTCCCAGAGGTTTGTGGTTCCTCGCAAATTCCCTAGCTTCTGCACATGGCCTGGCACCTGCCTGCTTCTTTTGGCTCATCTTCCGTTCCAGTCCCACAAGTATCCTCTACTCTGGTCCCACAAACTCTTTGCCTCTGTTCTCAAGAACTTCCCAGGTGTCATTCTCTTTACTTAAAACCTTTTTATTTTTTTTTCTCTCTACCCATTTAATTCCCATTCTTCAAGACCAAGCTCTTGAAAAGGACTCCTTCTGACTTCTTAGTAATGAGGCTATTTTTTCTCTATGTCTCCAAAGCACCCTCCGCAGCTATTTAATACCCGTCATAGGAGATTACACTTGCTGGTTTATGGCTGTGTGTCTTCCACTGGATGTAAAACTCTATGAGGGGAAAGAGAACATTGCTTTGTCTTTCTATGCCCAGCACCTAGAAGTGTGCATGGAATATAGAAAGTAATCAAGTTTGCTTTTGGAATTAAAAAAGAAATTGAATGAGTCAATAAAGCAAGTTGATAGATGATGTAAATAAATATCTGAAGTTTGCCAGGAAGGCAGACTTGCAAAGCACACTTTCCCACAAACAATTTCTCATGGCTAAATATCTCCTTTTGCAATCTCATCTCCAATCTTTCCATCCTGCTGAAACCACATTTTTCAGGCCCAGCCTGCTGACTCTCCCCAGGACTCTAGGTGAGATTCATTTCCCTCTGTCATAAACATCGATTGGATATCATGTACTCTTGTTTAATCAAGCTATCTCATTTCCCTGAACCAATTAACTCAAAATTTCTGTCTCTTCTGATATGTTTTTCTCAATTAATTAGAAAAGAAAGCAGATTCCCATTAGTACTCCTGTATCTAAACATGGAAATCATCAGCCACCTCTTTAGCCCCAACTATAGGCAGCCCCACTGCCTCAGGATGCATCTAGCACATTAAGTGATGAATGAGAGCTACGGAGTCCGAGACCTGAGTGTGAGCCCCAGTCTTCCCACTTTCCAGGTCATGTAGGCTGTGTTACCTCCTCTTTGAGCTTCAGGCTCTTTTACAGAAAGTTGTGGATTACAGCCTCTTCCAAGTGCAGTTTTGATAGTATGGCGGGACGTGGTCTGGAAAGCCCCTAATCCCTATCTAGCACAATAGGCTCTCTGGAGATGAGTAGTAATTATGTGTGTCAATATGAAGAATCTTTCAACTGATACTGAATATACCAAATTGCATTGAGTTTTGCACTCCTAGGTCATGGAATTTTCAATATTTTAAATCAAATTAAATAAAGTATGCAAGACAAGGGTCTCTAAGTTCTAGAGAGTAAAAAGGTATTTTTTGCAGCTAGCATCACATTATATAAATTGATGTGCATATCGAGATCACTTGATTTCTTGATTGGAAACCTATTGCTGTCCTTCAAATGCAGATGTGGACTAAATGTGAGTGACAGCAAAAGATTCAGGCCTGAACATTTGCCTATATTGTCCTTCCCTTGGCTCATTTACTTAATTTTTGCCATTATTTCTTCTTCAGTCCCATTTCTAAGTACTCCATGTTCTTTCTTTGCTCATATTTGGCCTACATCATCATTGAGAAGGCTTTATTAGATTCCTTTCATTTACTAAATTCAATCTCCCATGGTTTTCTTGTGTAAACCTTTTCTTTCTGTTCCGATTGTTCTCCATTTACATCACTAGATCCATCCTTCCTTTTTCTATTCCCTGCTCAGTGACTTGGAAGATTGACCTCAAGAACATAATCACCGGGATTTCCTTGCCCTCTGGCTTTCAAATGGGCTCAGTCCTTAAGAGCCTCTGGAAACATAGTGATGGCTGGAAGAGCTAGATTGATATAGGAGATTGCTCCTGCCACAGGCTCACTCCCTGCCTGGCCATAGTCCTGGCTGTAGTGGCCACAACTCCTGTTGGACAGACCCACACCCACAGCTCCATTTCTCAGGAGGCTTCCTTAACACTATTCCTTCCCCTTATCTTTTCATGTGAGGAGTGGTAGAGGCTTCCTGATATCAGAGTTCCTGGGTGCCTCATAAAATCTTGTTGGACCCTGAGCCCTGCCTCAATATCTATAAAAAGCCCCTTTATAAAATCTTTTTTTCAGTTAAATCTCTCCTTTGGAATCTGCCTGATTGATTTTCCATATATCCTCAGTTCAGGAAAAAGATACTTGCCTGCTGAGAGCTAACTCCAAGGGCTTACAGTGAGTGAGGGGATGAGGTGACTTATTAGGTGATGAAATTGAGGTCTATGGTGGTTAAATTACTTGTCTAACATCACATGGCTGGTCAATTTATGGGCAATTCATTCAAATATTTATTGAAACATAGAATTAGTTGGACAGTGGAGATGAAGATAAAACATTGTTGCTGCCCTTAATAATCTGAATTTCAGTATAGGGGAGAGATGTATAAACCAGTATTTAAAATGTAGCAAGAGCCGAGGAGCCTGGGTAACTGATTCGGTTAAGAGTCTGACTCTCGGGGCGCCTGGGTGGCTCAGTCGTTAAGCGTCTGCCTTCGGCTCAGGTCATGATCCCAGGGTCCTGGGATCGAGCCCCGCGTCAGGCTCCCTGCTCAGCGGGAAGCCTGCTTCTCCCTCTCCCACTCCCCCTGCTTGTGTTCCCTCTCTCGCTGTGTCTCTGTCAAATAAATAACTAAAAATCTTAAAAAAAAAAAAAAAAGAGTTTGACTCTCGACTTCAGCTCAGGTCATGATCTCAGGGTCAGGGTCATGAGATCAAGCCCTGTGTCTGGCTCCATGCTGGGTGTGGAGCCTGCTTAAGAGTCTCTCTCTCCCTCTGTGTGTGTGTGTGTGTGTGCTCTCTCTTTCTTGCTCTCTCAAAAAGAAATAAATTAATTAAATTAAAAATAAAAATAAAATAAATAAAAAAATATTTAAATATTTAAAAAATGTTAAAATGTAACAAGAGTAAATGCCCAATGTTAAGAATACTGAAGTAAGAAAACCCAATTTTAATCTAGGCCTTGCAGATGAAACCAAAAGATGAGGTGGGAAGAAGATGGTTCTTTGAGTGGAGGGTAAAGCATGCTGTGAAGTTGTCTTCTTGTGCCATTTTTCTTGCAGCAGATCTAGTGCGTAGAGCCTTCTCCAAGCAGCATCTCTTTCCTCCCGGACCGCTGCAATGGGCTTCTGGAAAGTAGTATGTGGCCCATGCTTCTCATCCTCTAATCCATCCTCTACATTGTGGTCAGAATATTCTTTTCAGAAGCAAATCTGAGATAATTCTCTCCCTAAAAATATTCAAAAACTCTCAGTTTTCCTTAGGATTTTTAAAAAAAGAAGCAACCATGGCTAATAAGTACTTAAATGGACTGGTTTCTGCCCCTATCACTAACTTTATCTCTGGCTACCCACCCTTTCTCTCTTTTTGTCTTCACCTCTACAACAGTCCTCCCTGATCTCTGGTTTTGCTTTCAACAGTTGCAGTTACCCCTGGTTCACTGCCATCCAGAAGTAGGTGATCCTCCTTCTGACACATCATCAGAAGGTCAGTGGTTGCCCAACACTACATCGCGGTGCCTACGCCATGCACCTCACTTCATCTCATCACGTAGGCATTTTATCATCTCACATCCTCACAAGAAGAGCAAGGGTGAATATGGTACAGGAAGATATTCTGAGAGGGACCACATTCCCATAACTTTTATTATGGTACATTGTTATAAGTGCTCTATTTTATTATTAGCTTTTGTTGTTAATCTCTTACTGGGCCTACTTTATACATTGAACTTCATCATAGGTATGTATTATAGGAAAAAATATATATAGGGTTAGTACTATCTACAGCTTCAGGCATCCACTGGAGGTCTTGGAAAGTATCCCCAGAAATAAGGTGTACCGCTCTATGCATTTCTTTCAGTTCCTTGAAAATGTTGTTCTCCTCTCACCACTGGACCTTTGCATATTCTGTTCCCTAGCTTTAAAGGCTCCTCTGAACCTCCTGCCATTTCTTTTGTAATTTCTATAAAAACTTCAAGCGTTAGCTCAAAAATCACTTGCTTGAGGAAGCTACCTCTGAAAATCCCAACATAACAACCTATGACTCTTGGCAGCATCTATCACAATTCTAGTGAAGTTAAATATGTTCATTTATATATTTTCCACCTTTTGAGAACGGGTATGATTTCCATTTCTTCACTGCGTTATCCGCAGATTTAGATCCAGTGCTGTATGGATGGTAGCAGCTCAATAAATAATTTTTGAAGTAGTATGGGAATGATTACAAATGGCCTGGACTCCAGGAAGGCATTGTGCATTAGGGGAAGGTGCACCAAAGGTGGAGTGATGGTAAATGAGGCTGAAGAAGACTACAAAAGCCAAATTTTGAAGGGCCTTAAATGCATGACAAATCTGGACTTACTCTTGAGTGTGATAAGCAGCCATTAATTTTTTTTTTTTTTAAGCTTGGACTTGTTCAGGTTTGTTGACTGGTGGAGGAGTGGACTGGTACAGAAAGAAGCTGGAGTCAGGCAGAACAATTAAGAAACAAATGCAAATATCTGGGAGAGGAGCAGACGCTAAAGCAGTGTTTCTCAAATTTGTTGCATATCATAATCACATGGCCAGCCACTAAAGCCCACAGAGGTCCAGGCTCCTTGAAGTAGGAGAGCTCATTTGGCCTTTGTATTTTTACCGATACAAATTTCCTCAGAGGACTCTGATAGCGGTACGTTTGAGAGCCACTGAAGTAAATTTAAGATAGTAAGATGCAGTCTTGATAAAGTTGAATGATTTTTTTTGAGGTGGGGAATGGGTGCAAGTGAGTCCATATTAACTTTTAGGTTATGGGCTACAATGGCCAGTTCTGCCATTGGCTAAAATGGGAAGAGATGATCAGTTTTGCATCTTTATTAATGGGATTAAAGTCAGTCTTTTTCTCCTCATTTTATTGGTCTCGGTGCTCTGCAAAATCTATCCCAGTTGGTCAGTGAAAAGCTGAGGTCAGAATCCGTCCTGGTACGATAAAAGAGATTATGATAGTTCTCAGTCTATGATAAGGTCTTAAAAATCACAAGTGCATCTTGTGAATCTTAGAATATATTTTTTTTCCCCTCTAAGTGTGGTGCTTCACTGTCAACTTGATTTATCTATGAGAGAAAGCATGTGAAAATCACTGTAGTGCTTTTTATTTCGGTAGTGTTAAGTATTTGCCCATTTGTTGCCAAATCTTTCATGATTCACAGAAGTTTAGTATTAGCACCCAAACTCTGGATAATATTAAATCTTGTGAAATATCAACTGAGAAAGTGTTTATTTATCATCTGACTTTAAAGAGGTACCACCCATACACTAGTGTGGTGCTAAGATTTGCTGATCCTTAATAGTACTACTGAAATTAAAAAATGTATTGCAGATTTAATATTAGTTCAGCATCTTTATGATGCCTGGAGAACAGTAGATTCCCTGGGATTTGTACTTTAAGAGTAAATATGAGAACCCTCAGTTTGTTTTTCAGAGTCCATCGTCTCTCATGGTTCATCTCCCCCTCCGATTTCCCCCCCTTCATTCTTCCCCTCCTGCTATCTTCTTCTTCTTTTTTTTTTTTAACATATAATGTATTATTTGTTTCAGAGGTACAGGGCTGTGATTCAACAGTCTTACACAATTCACAGGGCTCACCATAGCACATACCCTCCCCAGTGTCCATCACCCAGCCACCCCATCCCTCCCACCCCCCACCATTCCAGTAACCCTCAGTTTGTTTCCTGAGATTAAGAATTCCTCATATCAGTGAGGTCATATGATACATGTCTTTCTCTGATTGACTTATTTCGCTCAGCATAACACTGGTTCTAGAGGGGAGGAGGTGGGGAGGATGGGTTAGCCTGGTGATGGGTATTGAGGAGGGCAAGTTCTGCATGGAGCACTGGATGTTATACGCAAACAATGAATCATGGAACGCTACATCAAAAACTAACGATGTAATATATGGTGATTAACATAACATAATAATAAAAAAATAAATAAATAAAACTATGGTGACTTCTGGGAAAAAAAAAAGTAAATATAAGACTGGGCAATATCCAGGAGCAGGAATCAGGAAAGATCCAAAAGATGCAATGGTCTGTGTTGTTAATATTCCTGTACCTAATTTCACCACACAATACAGTTTACCCTAAATATGTTTTGAAGTAAGATATTAAAATGTCCCTTCATTTGTCATAATGACAGACAACCTGGAATAGTAGAAAGGACTTGAGTTCTAATCCAGACACATAACCAACCGTTGGACCTTGAGCTCTTCACTTAACATTTTGTGTGCTCTGATTCCTCAGCTTTTAATGATGGGAATGGCTATTCTCTAAAATTGGTTCTTCTTGTTCTACAATTCTGAGATTCTGGGTTCTATCGATTGAGCATCTGTATCTTTTTTAATAGAAATGTGATTTCATCTGGGAACATCTGTTACAGTTTATAACATATTTTGCCAAGTCCTTGACCTTAATTTTATCATAGGCATCAGATGTTCCTTCACAGATTCTACTCTGCATCTTACTGAAGGAACATCAGTTATGCTTATGTCTTGAGTAGTGTTAATCTGGCTCAAAAAATATGCCAGATTTGCTAACATGATCATTAAATGACTTCTTAATTAAGATTGTCAATACCACCAGTGATATAGTTCAGAGCTATTTTAGCATTAGAAATTACATAAACTACTCATTTACATTTTTATTTTTATTTATTTATTTTTTTTACATTTTTATTTTTATACTTAATGCAAAATAAAAGTATTTTTGTCAAAGGCATCATACTTTTTCCAAATAAACATGGATTCTAAAATAATTCTGTGATACACGTATTAATTGACTAAATATACTGCTGTTTTATTTCTTCTAATGAAACAATATTCCCTTACTAATAATTATACTTAATTCTATTATTAATTTAGAAACCTGCTTCTTTGCACTGGAAATTTTATTTTTATGATTTCCTGGTTATAAAAGTTTAGTTTGGGCCATAAAAGGCCCCCAGTTTTTTTGCTTACTCGAAACCAAGGAGATAGAGATAGATTTTTTTTTTTTAATCTTTGCTTTTACTATTTGTTCATTAAAAGAAAAAGTGCAGTCTTCTATGGTGAATTATTAAACCAAGGCAAATCTTTGATTCCAAGGGGAAGAAAGGATAATAAGCAAAGAGTAAACAAACAACCCATTAGACTCAGTGCACTTTGGTGCTTTGCCTCTCTGAGTCTCTATTTTCCAATCTGCAGATGATGGTGGAAAAGCATGAAATAGTCATCACCTTGTGAAATGTACTGCAAATGACTTGAGATAACAACAGTACAGCTCTTGACCAAGAGTTATAGTTGCCAAGAAGTATCTACTATTTGATGATTAATTTAATATGCAGAAGTAAGTGACAGGTAAGAGGCTTCCCTAGGCTCATGCTATTTCATGATTGCATGTCAGAAACATTCATTTTATGTCACTTCATCCACTTTCCTTTACAGTGAGTCAGACAAATGTCCATAAGCATATTGGGCCTCCTGACGCTGTCTTCCTTCTTTCAGTTCCTGGCGCTGTATTGTTGGTCATAATCAGTCGTGTGTTTTCAGCATCTGGGGATCAAATGTTGATTTTCTCTCCCAATATGGTCTAGTTTTTTCTTTTTTTAAAAGATTTTATTTATTTATTTGAGACAGAGAGAATGAGAGACAGAGAGCATGAGAGGGAGGAGGGTCAGAGGGAGAAGGAGATGCCCCGCCGAGCAGGGAGCCCGATGCGGGACTCGATCCCGGGACTCCATCCCGGGACTCCAGGATCATGACCTGAGCCGAAGGCAGTCGCCCAACCAACTGAGCCACCCAGGCGCCCTGGTCTAGTTTTTTCAAATGAGCTTCCTATTGTAGCTTTTTTGATTAGCCTTGTCTCTGTTTCTTCTTAGAAGCCCTTGATTACTCCGGAAAGGAAACTTAAAAGTGTCATCAAATACATACCCTTACGAGAAATAATTTCAATATTTTGCAAAAGAAATTCCAGAAAGCATAGTGGAGGCATGCATTACCTGTCTCTGATTCTTTCGCCCTATCGTATCACTATCTTCTCTGATTCCTTTACCCCAGGCTGATCTCTGGCCTCCGCCTGTCTGTACTGGGTGCCTTGCTCAGCTACTTGGAATCTTCTGCTGCAACGGAGCTTAGAAAGTCCCAGCACCTGGCGAAGAGGGATGGAGGCGAGTGACAGAAGGAGAACAAATTCATCCATTTGCACTGTACTTCGCAAAAGTAAAAAAACGTGCCTCCAAAGAGGGCCTCTTATGTGCTCTCTTTATCTCTTTGTGGTCTGACTGAGGCAGGAACTACCATCTCCAAAAACACTGGGACTCATACGTGTTAAATGATCTGCTTAAGGTCACGCAGTTTGGAAGCATTTCAAATCAGTTTTAGTCTGTATCTTCCAAATACAGCTCCAGGATTCTTTCCACTCGTTCATTCCAACATCTCTATTCTGGGACTATTATCAGAAGTGCCTGAACTTGTCTTTGGGAAATCCCGTCATTCACTCAAGTGCTTCATGAGGCGCTTTGATTGTGAAAACAGAAGAAATCCCAAAGCTTTGCTATGATAATAAATAAGAATGTTAACAGTCTATTAAAATAAGATGTAAGGATTTAGGAAGATATGTATACCCTCACTGTATCTTCTCAAAAGCAGAGTGAGTAATATTGCCAGAAGGTTCACCCATAACAGACAGGAGGAAAATAATAGCAGTAGACAGTTCTGTCTCTGGGATAGGTAAGTTTTTTTTTCCCCCAGGAATGTAGAGAAAATGATGAGATTGTCTTAGGCTTAATACTCCCTAATTTTCATTCCATACAAATAGCATAGTACCAACTGTGGACAGGATAGTAAAATCCCTTTTGAGAAGTGCAATGAAAAAGGTATGATTTTAGACTTTGGATCAAAGACTTTGAATTCAGGCTAACTAGAGCTCCTTGTAAGGTTGTCGCTAAAATGAAATAAAATAAGACAAAAGTTGTTACAGAGTGCCTTGAACGTTTGTTACAATTAAATAGGTATTTTTTGTTGTCAGATGAATGAAATCAAAGCATTCAGAAAATGCCCCTGGATTTCCAGGAAAGAAGAGCTTACTGGTTCACAATAGTCAAAATTAGTAATTTTAGCAATAAATAAGCATGCAGCATATTTTGGAAATTTTTTTTTTTTTGTAAAAGTGGTCCTAAGCTCCAGATCACCTTATAATCATTTAGGAAGTAACAAACAAACAAACAAACAAACATAAAAACAAAAACAAAAGAACCACAAAATATCAAGGCCTATTTCAGACCAGTTAAATCTGAATCTCCTGGGGTGGAGTCTGGGTTGGTTTGTTTGTTTTGTTTTTAAGATTTTATTTATTTATTTGACAGATAGAGAAAGAGAACAAGCAGGGGGAGTGGCAGGCTGAGGGAGAGGGAGAAGCAGGATTCCCGCCGAGCAGGGAGCCCGATGTGGGACTCGATCCCAGGACCCTGGGATCATGACCTGAGCCGAAGGCAGCCTCTTAACCGACTGAGCCACCCAGGCGCCCCTGTTTGTTTTTGTTTTGTTTTTGTTTTTAGCTTACCAGGCCATTCTAACATGTGGCCACAGTTGAGGAATGTTGGTTTGTAACATCAATGGTCCTGAGTCGCAATCACGGAAAACTTCTTTTGATGATGACTGTGACATACGTGTGTCTTTTTCAGTAATAATGGCCCCTGGTGTACCCTCCTTTCCTTCTCATGATGGCCCTATTCATAATTTTTTAGTTTTCTGAAGAGGCTCTGAGGTGGACACATCAGCCTGCGGTGTCCCGAGCAATGGTAAGTGAAGTGTAAGAGAAGTAACAGGAGAGCTGGTCCAGAGCCCATGTCTTGCAGCTGGAGGGAGGAAACCAATGAGGAGATTCTTACTTCTTGATTACAAGTTACTGTGACTGTTTCTTGTGTTTTCCTTGTCTCCCTGGGTCCTTTCCTTTCTCCTTTTTCTCTTTGCCTACCTTATTTACTCCTCTGTGCTGCTCTGTTTCTTATCTTCATTTTATTTTTTCTTTCGCTCTCTTTCTCAGAGAAAATACACTTGCTTGAGGATAAGAAAATTAAGCTGACATGCAATCGGTTGTCATTGCCCCCTGGTTCTACCAGCTCCACTTGATGTTTGGCTCTGTAACCATTTTGGAGTGGCTTAGATATTTGTACAATTCCCAGCCATCCTAGATTCCCATAGCACACCCTAGCTTTTGCATTAATGTCCTGTGTGAGGAATACTTACCAAATGTTAGTTGGTTAAATTTCAGTGGTTATCCAGTTTGTTGGTGTACAATTGTTCAAAATACTCTTAAGATCTTTTTTACTTCTGTAGAATCAGTAGTAGTGTCCCAATTCTCAGTTCTCATTTTAGTAATTTGAGTCTTCTCTTTTTTCCTTCTTAGTTCGCCTAGCTAAACGTCAATGTGTTAATCTTTGCAAAGAACCACGTTTTGATTTCATTCATTTTTGCTATTATTTTTCTATTCTCTATTTCATTGATCTCTGCTCTAACCTTTGTTATTTTCTTCCTTCTGCTAGCTTGGGGGTTAGTTTGCTCTTTTTCTAGTTCCTTAAGTTGTAAAATTAGGTTGTTGTTTTGAGATCTTTCTTGTTTTTTAATATAAACACTTACAGCTATAAATTTGCCCCTTAAGCACTGCTTTTGCTACATCCTGTAAGTTTTGGTAAGTTTTTTTTTTTTCATTTTCATTCATCTCTAAGTATTTTCTAATTTCACTTGTAGTTTTTTTCTCTGATCCATTGGTCACTTAAGAATGCTTTGTTTAGGGATGCTTGGGTGGCTCAGATGGTTAAGCCTCTGACTTCAGCTCAGGTCATGATCTCAGGGTCCTGGGATAGAGCCCCCTGTCAAAGCCCACAACACGCTCCATGCTCAGTGGGGAGTCTGCTTCTCCCTTTCCCTCTCACTCTGCTCACCCCGACTCCTGCTCTCTCTCTCTCTCAAATAAATAAATAAAATCTTTTTTTTTTAAAGTTTTTTTTTTAAGGGTAAAATCTTTTTTTTAAAAAAAGAATGCATTGTTTAACTTCCACAAAACTGTGAAATTTCCAATTTTACTTGTTTTTGATTTCTAACTTCCAAGATGGTGGGAAAAGTTATTCCCTATGATATCTGTCTTTCTGTATTTATTGAGACTTAATTTGTGGCCTAACATATGCTGTATCCTGGCAAAAGTCCTACGTGCACTTGAGAAGAATGGGTTTTGCTATTGTTGTGTAGTCTTTTCTGTACATGTCTATCTGTTGTATTGTTAAGTTCTCTATCTCTTTAGTCATCTTCTGCCTGGTTGTTCTATCCATTACTGAGAATAGGGTATTGAAGTCTATAACTATTTTTATAGAACTGTCTATTTTTCTCTTTAATTTTGTCAGTTTTTACTGCATATATTTTGATGGTCTGTCATCAGGTGCATAAACAATTATAATTGTTGTATCTTCTTGCTGTATTGGAGTTTAAAAAATATATAATGCCCTTCTTTGTCTCATAATCTTATGATTTAAAGTCTGTTTGTCTGATATTAATGTAGCCATCTCTGCTCTCTTCGGTTACTATTTGCATGGAGTATCTTTGTCCTTCCTTCCACTTTTGGTCTATTTGTTTCTTCAGTTCTAAGGTGAGTATCGTGTAAACTGAATATATGTGTGATGGAGCATGTGATTTTATCCGTTCTTCTAATCTCTGTCTTCTGATTGGAGAGTTTAATTAATTTACATTAGTAAAGTAATTACTGATAAAGAGGGACTTCTGACATTTTCTTTTTTGTTTTCTCTATGCCTTGTAACTTTTCTTGTCTTGAATTTTCTATATTACTGCTTTCTTTTGTTTAGTTGATTTTTTTGTTGTTGTTTAATTTCTTTTCTCATTTTCTTTTGTTTATGTTCCATAGCTATTTTCCTTGTGGTTACCTTAGGGATTATATTTAACATTCTAAGGTTAAAACACACTAGTTTGAATTTATACCAGTTAACCTTCTATAACATAACCGTCTATAACATAACAGAAGAACATATAACCTTCTATAACATGAACAGAGTCATACAGAAACTCTGCTCCTTCATAGCTACATCCTTACCCATTTAGGTTGTTGATGTCACAAAATTACATCTTTATACATTGTGTGTCCAAAAACATAACCTAATAATTCTTTTGAATGCATTAGTCTCATAAATTATATAGAAATCAAAACTTGGAGTTAGCAAGCAAAGTTATAGTGATACTATTTTTAGACTAATAATTGGGTTTTTTAAAATGAATTAGTCTCATAAATCATGTAGAAAACAAAAAGTGAAGTTAACAAACTCCACAGTTGTTAAAAGAATAAAGTTTTTATAATTGCCCTTGTATTTTCCTTTATTGAGATCTTTATTTTGCCATATAGCGTTGAGTTATTATCTGGTGTCTTGTCATTTCATCCTGCAGGACTCCTTTGAACATTTCTTGCAGGGCAGATCTAGTGGTAATGAAATAGATCTGGGAATATCTTAGTGTCTCCCTCACTTTCAAAGGACGATTTTGCCGGATGTAGGATTCTTGATTGACAGTTGTTTTCTTTTAGCACTTTGAATATATCAGTACACTGACTGTGGCCTCCAAATTTTGTGGTAAGAAATCTGCTGACAGTCTTATTGAAGATCTCTTGCCTCTCTCTTGTGCTCTCAAGATTCTCTTTTTGTCTTTGTCTTTCTAAAGTTTGATTACAATATGTCTCAGTATGGGCCTCTTGCAGTTCATCTTACTTAGAGTTGGTTGAGCTTCTTGGATGTTTATATTCATGTATTTCATCAAATTTGGGAAGTTTTTAGCCACTGTTTCTTTATATATTCTCTATGACCCTATAACTTTTTCTTTTCCTTCTGGGACTCCCACAATGTGTATGTAGGTCCACTTGATAGTGTGCTATAGGTCCCTTAAGCTCTATTTACTTTCCTTCAATTTTTTTTCTTTCTCTTCCTTAGACTTCATAATTTTCATTACCTTAAGTGTGCTGATTCTTTCTTCTGCTTACTCAAATTTGCCTTTGAATTCCTCTAGCAAAAAAATCATTTTGATCATTGTACTTTTCAGCTCCAGAATTTTGTTTTGGCTTCTTTTTAGGTTTTTTTCTTTATTGATATTTCCATTTGTTCATGTGTATAGATATAGATATAGATATAGATATAGATATAGATTTTTTTTTTTACTTGCTCCACATCTTCTTTAGTTCTTTGAGTATCTTTAAGATGGTTGTTTAAAAATCTTTGCCTAGTATATCTGCCATCCATTCTTTTGCAGTGACAGCTTCTGTTGATGGATTTTTTTCCTTTGAATGGGCCATACATTCCTATTTCTTTGTATGCCTTATGTTTTTGGATGAAAACTAGAAATTTGAATCTAAAAATGTGGAAACTCTGGAAATTAAGCTGTCCTCCTTTCCCAAGATTTGTTGAGTTTTTTGTTGTTGCTGTTTGATTGCTGTAGACTAAAAAGTTATAATGATACTAGCTTTAGGTATCAGCCTGAGATGTAAACATAAGGTCATTTCAGGTCTTTTCTGAGTCTTTTGCTGGTCATGGGTGGTTAGTTTCTATTATCTCCTATATTTGCAGTTATTTTGAATGTCCTAGTCTTTAATGTCTGGCTCCCCAAAAGAGGGAAATAAAAAAATGAAGGGGCAGGGAAATGGGGATAAAGTACAACAATAATGGCTGCTACCTCTTTGTCTGCATCTGTATGATCAGGAGCAGGAACCAGTGGTCAGAGCATAGATCCCTAATATTTGGAGGACAGGGTCTATTTTGCCCAACTTGACTCCCACAGACTGTGTGTAAGCTGCTCCGGGAACATGTGCAATGCTTGCCATGCAGCTGGGAGGGGGATGGGGAGCTGCTACTGTGCTAAGAGTTGAAACAGACTGAAAATAACCACAATTTACTGTCCATGCCTTCCTTTGGAAGTTGCAAGCTTTCCAGAGAGTC